GCTAACGTATGTTGTATTGAAATACCATGCAATCCACACATACCTGTCCTTTTGCTACACACGTACTATCTCTCTCTCTCTCTCTCTCTCTCTCTCTCCAACTTTTATAAAACACTCAAAACTCAAACAAGGTAGAAAATAGAAATTAGAATAGTTAAATAGATTATATAGAAAATCCATACAAATATAATGTAGATTCTATTGGCAATAGTCTGATAGACAAATAAAAAGCTTTTGAATCTACTGCTAATATGTATCCGCGAAATATGTTTAATACAACCGCTAATTCTATTAATTTTAAAAAATAAGGTTTGCAAACAAAGCTACGAACGAACCACCATTCGGGACAAGCAAACATGAAATAACAAGACTGAAAAAAGTATTAAAGATTTTCTAAATGGTTTAGTTATTATTGGTTTATAGAGGTGAACATTGGCAATACGATAACATTAGCCGCGTGTTTAAGTGTAACCATAGCTGGGAATCCCAGCCTGGAATACACTTAAGCTGGGATCTCAAGTGAGAACCGATAATGTGATCGCAATTTTTGTATTAAACTGAAGTTAAAATTCATTTTATTTTGTGTTTAATTTATGTTATACTGTACAGTATTACTTTTTAATAACGACATACAAATTATATCACAATTGATTTCATATTCGCGTGAAATATATAATGATTTTTAAATTAAGTTAAATAACCAGCAAAATGACAAATCTATTGAAAGCAGTTTTATTGTATGCATTGGTTATCTTACAAGTATTTTGTGATAACAGTACCCAATGGATAGATGCCATGGATTTAAATGTAATTTATTACAATATGTGACTTTATTTAGTACTTGTCTATACTTTAATAGATTTAAAACCCATTTAATTACAAATTTATAGATAACAAAAATAGAAGAAGAATGGGAGCGACAATTGAATGAATACACCCATAGTTTGATGTCTTCTTCACTTATACTGCTATTTAGTGGTATTTTTAATGTAACAATTCATCAAATATTTCTCATCACTATCTCATTCTTGGTCTCAATTTTGATCGTAAATTTATTAATGCTGTCTATTGTTTGGAGTATTATAATAGATATGAAGAGAATTGAAGGTTTGATTAAGTAATGTATATTATTATTGGTTGAGATTAGTGTATAAATTGATAAATTACAACAAAAGATGTAAAGCAATAGGTTTTTAATAAAAATGTTTAACCAATTTGTTGTTAGTATACAATTTCTCTATTATACCAATTCTAACAACTTTTAAATGAATTTTAAATTCTATATCATATAAATCTATAAAATATAATATTATTATATATTGTCAAAGTTTTTGAGATGCATCGCAAGTTGAATAAGTTATAGCAAGTTATCGCAAGTTACAGCTACAGTAGATCCAAGTTTTGAAAGTCAACTAAATGTTACCAAATTATTTGGTGGGCTTTGAACTCTTTATACTAAAACATTGAAAACTTTGGAAACAAACTTATTGATTGTGTTTAGGGCTCACAAAGTTAATGAGTGAATAAATTGAATCCAAATGAATGCATAATTTCCGTTTCAAAACACTTAATATAATAACAATATTTTATTGAATTAAAGGAGAAGTCGGAGGGAAAACGAATGCTTAGAAAGCTTTCCTCATAATTAAGAGTCCGTCAAATAATTTTCATATGATTTCCTTTATTTCATGTTATTTGAGAAGAATTTAGTTAAAATTTGTGGAGTCTATTAGTGTTTAAGCTATCGTATAGTTGGCTACATATCCTATATTAGCGCATATCGACTGGCAATCAAATGAAGGGAAGAGTAGCCCAGAGAGAAGGGAGAGAAGAATACGGTCGAAGGGGAACGGAGTGACAGCCTGTTTGCCTCTCAAATGGGGCCGTAAGTCGTAAGCCGTAAGCTGTGAGCTATAGATTTGGCTCCACTTTGATTAGTTGCCAATTCTTGTGATTCAAATACAACCACACAATCAACACATTCAATATATTACTGCTCTTTAAATCACTTTTTGATCATTTCATTCAATGCCCTCCTCTTTAAAGTGAATCTCATTTGTTAATAAAAAATACTCTTATAATAAAAAAATCTTTTTTGTGTTTCTTTTTTTCGAAACAACTCTTTAAAGTTTGTTCTTAACGGCAATTATAGCCATAAAAATCCATTTATAGAGTAATTTATAGTAAAACTTCAGGAATTATATCGCATTTAATATCAATATTTATGTCTATATTTATACAAATTGTTTGAAACTAAGGAATTGAGTGACATTTGATTGAATATAAAGTACAATAATAACGAAATGAATGTTGAATTCTTTATGTGATATACAAAGCGATAGCAATGGTATGGGAGAGGAATAATATGTGAGGTATAGTGTGTGCCGTGATATCCATTTCGTGATATGTTCTCCAAAAAAGGTAGTTCTCTATTGCACTTCAATGCATGGCTTTGAGGCTCAGGGCTCAGAGCTCTGCCTGTTTTCTCATACCATCTCATTCTCATCGCATCCCAACATAATTGGGTATTAAAGCGAACACAAAACCAGACCTGATTTGGCTCTCAGAAAAGAGAGAGAGAGAGAGAGAGAGAGAGAGAGAGAGA